GGGGCGGGCTGCGGCTGCCGCCGGCAGGCGTGCTGTCAGATGATAGGCTGTTGATCCCCGCGGCGGCGCTGGCGTCGCCGCGGCTGCCATCAGCACGCAGCCTGGGGGTGCCGGCGCGGTAGGGGGCAGGGGCGACCCTGCTGTCGACGCGCACGGGGCGTTAGTTGTACAAACACGCTTGTGTCTGGTCAGGCAGGGGTTGCGGGGCTTGAGCTTAGTCAGTGCATGGACGGGCGCTGCAGGGTAGAATAGTATAGGAGAGGGCAGGGCAGGACAAGGCAGGGCAGCGGGGCGGGGCGCGTCGGGGCAGGGGACATTGTGAATTGGTGGAGAATGCTGCAGGCATTCCTGCGCATCACATGTCTATTCGGTCTTGGGTGGGGTGCGTGTTTGTGAGGCGCACCACAGCGCAGATTCTGAAGCAGGACGACCTTGCGCACTTACAAACAAAGCAATGCGCTTTTCCAAGCGCCAAATTGAGCTCAACGCCAGTCAGCGTGTGCTGATGTCGGTAGTGGCAGGGCAGGCATGCCGCCGTGGCCTCCCACACAACAGACGACCCGCACTCTACGCGTTGTTTGCACCTGCCACATGGCCTTTCTAGTGAGCTTGCCGTGTTGCCTGCATAGCAATTTGTAACAGCAGGTCACGAGTTGGTGATCACATCCTCATATGTGTCGCAAGGCAAGGATCAGCGCGGCTTCTGCCTGTGTGCCATCAGCCTTCCATAATGGCAAGCTTAATTTGTGCCCCCCCCCCCGCACACGCACAGTGTGTGTGGTCACAGGCGACTCTCGCTACTCCTGTGCGGCAGCACAGCGATGCATGCCTTGGACAGCTGGCGGCTTAGCCGGCCGGTCACACCTTGCAGGGACTGTGCAGCGCACGCTGCTCATCCTGGTCTGCAGTCACTCGGACGGCACCGGGGCATCTTCCCGTGTGGCGCACAGGCATGCATCGATTATCAGCAGAGGCCCTGGTAAGAAGATTACTACTGATCTTATACTCGGCCTGATCCTCCCAGCTGTCGCTCATCTGTCAACGCCGACCCGATCTCGCGTGGTGACCTGTCAGCGTGCTGGCGACCTTGAGCCTCTGATTGAATCGTGCATGCGTCATCGAGTGCCACGTCAACCTTCAAGGTCAGCCGGCGTGCTCCGCGGTCGCGATCGCCACCCAAGGAGCAGCAGCAACAGCAGCTGCAGCGGCAGTGGCGCGCCACGGGCCTGCAGCGGCAGCAGCAGGCGAAGCAGAGCCACCACCAGCGGCCCCGGCCGCAACAGTGCGGTAGTGGCCAACATGCAGGGCTTCAGCAGGCTGGTGGACAAAGTGAAGGGTGAGCCTCTCAGCAGCTGCGAAAGAACGGGGCGCTCCCATAGCACATCGCAATCGTGTCGCATGGCCGCTATGTGCACAACCCGCCGCCTGGCCCCCAAAACCGAGAGCGTCACGCCCTTCGTCCCGCCCATCATGATTCAAACGCACCCCTGCGACAGACAAGGCGGCCGAGATCAGAGCAGAGATCGCGGAGGCGGCGGCGGCCCCTGCGCTGGGGCCGGCGTCGTCGTCAGCAGGCGGCGCGTCCGCGTCGGCGGTCGGGCAGCTGGTCTCACAGCAGCTGGACACCCCGGAAGCTGCCCAGGCGGCGGGGGCGCGGCAGCTGGGGCTGCACCTGTGCGGCCACGATGTGGAGGGGGTGTCCATTGCTGGGCAGGTGGGCGTGGCGTAGGGGCTGCAACCTTGAGTTGTTGTTGTCATGGTGGTGGTGGTGTGCCGCAGTTATTTGGGTGGACTGAGCAGCAGTCAGACGTGCGTAGGTGTATGTAGTCGTTTGTGCGAAAGTCTCAAGCTGCTTGCACTTGCATACGTGTGTGTCTGTGAGTGAGTGTGGAACATGAAGGCATGCTGTCGCATGCAGTCGCACCCTTGCAGCGTGCGCTGCAAGGGTGCCCGCTAAGCGACGCGATGCACCTCCAAACACATAGAACAACACGCGGCCAGCCTCGCTGCATCCGCCAGCGCCGCGCAGCTTCCAGGCGACGCTCGCCGCCGCCGCACCCGCCTGCGTGCAGGTGCAAGTGGTGCATTCGCACGCTCGCATGCTGCAACCCCCCTCCCAACACCCCAGCCCGCAACAGCACCCGCCGGCCCGCGATCCCTTTCACCTTGTGTCGTCCGCAGGAGACCTGCATCATCCTGCCGCGCCTGAGGGTCGCATTTGACGTCGGCCGCTGCCCACAGGTGAGCGTTTGCAGGAAGACAAGCGGCCACCGGGCCGCGCGCGATGTGCTGTCCGGGGTGCCCGCGCGTTGTTTGATGTTAATCGGCCGCCTCAGGTTTTGGGCTGCACAGGGCCAGGGAGCGGCCTCGCCTTGCAGGCGAGTCCTAGCACACAGGTTGCGACAGCCGACGGGGCCTTGCTCGCGATAATTTCTGGCACATGCCGCCTCCATGCCATCATGAGATCCCCTTTCCCACCCCCCCACACACACTGTACCCCTGCCCTGCCGCCCCCTTGCGTCGCGCTGCCACTGCGGCCCCCTGCAGCGGTCCGTGTATCAGCAGACTGTGCTCATCACCCACGGCCACCTCGACCACATAGGAGGCCTGCCCTGCCACGCAACCAGCAGGCGAGAGCCGCAGGGGCGCGCGCGCGCTCGCGGCCGGCCGCGCTGACGGGGCAGGCAGCTTCGGGCAGGTGCTCAGCCGCCCTCTCTGCCGAACGATGGGGCCCACCCGCCAAAGCGCAGTCGCGCGCCACTTGCCATTGTTGCACGTTCCATCTCCCTTGCGCTGCGTCGCGCGGCCGCACTGACGTGCCCCTACTGGATGACCCAGCAAACCGTGACCATACCCTCGCGGCAATAGGAAACCTGCCCTCGGGGCACCGACCAAACAAAACGGCCGCGCTGCGGCGCCAGCATGCACCACCCACACACCAATCACTATCCTCGCACCACACCCCCACCACCACACACACACACACACACACACACACACGCACGCACAAAAACCGCCTTCAAAACCCCCCGCAGGCAGCTGTTGGGCATGGACCCTGCGCGCTACGTGGTGCACCCCCACTACGTGGACCGGCTGCACCAGCTGCTGGCGCTCTGCAAGGACCTGGAAGGCGGCTCGCCCCCCTTGATGTACGACATCACGCCGCTGCAGGTGCAGCAGCGGGGGAAGGGCGCCGTTCACAGGGCAGGCATCCCTACCCCCTGGAGTGCTGGCGGGCCTGGGGGTCGCCCTGTCGTGGGGCGTGCCCTGTGCTCGTCCTGCGAACGCGGCGCCTCGCCCGCAAGTCGCGCCGGGGGTGTTGCTCGGTTGAGAGGGGTGCCGCAAGCGTTGCAGGCAGGGTGAGAGGCACGCACCCGGCGCGGGCGTCAGCCGACAAGAGGACCTCGACCGCTCCCCTCAATCCCTGATTTTGACCGCTCTCCCGGTGATCCCGGCCGTCCAACACGCGCACGGCCGCGCTGTTCTGCCCGCTCCCCTCTGCGCCAGACGGGCGAGGAGATCACGCTGCCATCGGGCCACATCGTGCGGCCATTCCCGACAGCCCACACCATCCCATCGCAGGCGAGCTCGGGCCGATTTTGCCTGGGTCTGAGGCCGCTGGCCTGCGTGCCTGCCTGCCTGCCTGCCTGCCTGCCTGCGTGCCTGCCTGCCTGCCTGCTTGTAGCGCGTTGACATTCTTCAAGCGAACTGCAGCCCATTTGACCCTACCACCACAGCATAAACAACATGACATGACCAATCTGGAGAATAACACATAATGTTGGGGATTCGAACCCCCGTCGAACCCCTTGCGCAGGGCTACCTGCTTTACAGCTACCGCAAGAAGCTCAAGGCGGAGCTGGTGGGGCGCAGCCAGGAGGAGATCAGGGCGCTCAGGGCCGCGGGGCAGGAGGTGACAGACACGTATCAGGTGGGGGCAGGGTGCGGGGTGTCCAGGACTGTGTGGCTTCGGGCGCGCGCGCGCGCGCGTGTGTGTGTGTGTGTGTGTGTGTGTGTGTGTGTGCATGCAGGTGTGGTTGGGGTGGCACATGTGAGCGCATGCTCGCATCTATGTATAAGAGAGGGAGATGGACTGTTTGTCCGCACGCACACGCGCAAGTATGTATGCGTGTGAGCGCCCACGTGCGTTGGCGCATGCAGGGAAGAGTGATGTGGCTGGGGCCACAGCTGTGGCATGCTCCATTGAGAAGGGAGCCGCCGCAAGTTCGGATGCTTGGGTGGGTGCAAAGCACGCATCTCAGCAGCACAGTCGGCACGGTGCAACCCCACCAGCCCACGGCACCCCGCCACAAACGAACCACGCCAGGCAACCCCGCCGACCCGACCCGCCGCCTCCCGCCGCAACGCCCACACCGCAGATCCCGGAAGTGGCGTTCACAGGTGACACCAGCGGGGCGCTATTTGAGGATCCAGCCACCCCCGCTGACCTGTACCGCGCGAAGCTGCTCATCGTGGAGCTCACGTTTGTGGACGAGACCGTGTCCTTCGAGCAGGTCGGGCCTCGCGCTGCGCTGCTTTGGTTTTTGATCTCCTCCTCTCTCTCCCCCCCTTCCTTTCTCCCTTCCTCTGCCTCCCTTCCTGTGCCCCGTCCCTCCCTCGCCCCCCCTTTCTCTCTCTCGCTCACACATACACATACACATACGCAAACACACACGTGTCTCTTTGTTCCTCGTACACACACATGTGCACATGTATGTGTGTCAGCCCTGCCACCCACTTGCTACAAGCCTGGCTGGGGCAGGTTCCTCAGTTTGTTACCCGCACGGCCAAACCCGCAGCATCCTGCAGACACACCATCCAGCAACCAAGCGGTGTCCCGGGTACCCAAATGCATCATTTAGCAATCAAACAACCATGCAACCAAACATTGATACTTGCACCCCACAACGCGCAGGCGCGCGAGCGCGGCCACATGCACGTGGCTGATCTGGTGGCTCACGCCCACAAGTTCCACAACGAGGCCATCCTGCTCATACACTTCAGCGCAAGGTGTGTGCGTGTGTGCGCGTGCGTGCGTGCGTGCGTGTGTGTGCATTGTATACGCGTGTGTCTATGTGTGTGGGCGCGTGTGTCAATGTGTGTGTGTGTGTGCGTGTGCGCGCGCGCGTGCGTGCCTATGCTTGCGTGCGAGTCGGCATAGATGGGTGCATTTGGCCAGGGTGGGCATGTACATGCCAACCATGTATGTGTGCTCTTATCCTCAACCTGTGCCCCTTCCGCATGCAGGTACACGCGGGCTCAAATATTGGCGGCGCTAGAGGCCAACATGCCCCCCTCCCTGCGTTCAAAGTGCGTCCCCTTCCTCAACGGGTTCGCGTGATGGAATTTTCTGCAGGGTTTCCCTTGCAGGGCTCTCTGCCACCTACCAATGCATCCAACTGCAGGCTGCGAGTGTTGGGTGGTAACGGCGGGAGGCAGGCTGTGCGGGGGTAGGCTGGGACTGGTAACGGTCACAACTCCTTTCACTCCAGTCCTGTGTGTTTTTCACGCAGTCGGTCCAGAGCCCCTTTGCTTCATGATATGTGGCATCATCTCGAGATTCGAATATCCTCCGTCACCCTGGTCCTGGCAGTCATGTCGCACGGCCGGTTGAGGCTTCGCACCCGCACCCCAAGATTTGCTGCACCTCCTCACTTGTCTGATCTGGACTACAAACGCTCAATAATGCAGCAGGATGGGTTCCCGTGTAAGCATACAAGGCTGATCGGCCCCTCTAAACTGATGTGGCCTGCTGCGCTCCAGACAGGGACGGCCCCATCCCCAGACTCTCTGTCTTAAGCTTTCACAGCGGGACGGCGACAAAGCTACGTATCAGTCAGTGAAGTCAATGAAACAAAACATAGGAGAACCCAGATGTGTCAAGATGCATGGACTTGTGAAGGAGGCTCAACAAGTGAACAACAGGGATCTCACGAAACGAAAACCAACCCAACCTCGGGGCCATGCATACCATGTCAGAACTCTTGTTTTCAACAACTCAACAGAATCGAAACAACTGTCGTGCCGAGCCACGACCTCAAGACTCACGCACAGCAAAGTGGGCGACCCCATCACAGAACCAACACAGGTGCAGCTCCTTTTCAAACCAGCCTCTCCTGCTCAGCTCGCAACCCTGCCCTGTACAGTGACCACACCAATCGCCCTCCCTTCACGCTCGCTTTTCGCGCATGTGCTCTGCTGTCAGTCGTCGCCGCCGTCGGCGGTTTCACTCGACACGAGCAACCCCACCGTCTGCCCGTCGCGCGCCAGCTCGTACACGGCCGCCTCTGCGCTTTCCACGATGTGGCCTGGTGACGTGATGTCATGCACGTGGGGTTTTGTGTGTTTAGTGTTTTTGTGTGCGTGCATGCGAACGTGTGTGTGTGTGTGTGTGTGTGTGTGTGTGTGTGTGTGTGTGTGTGCGCGTGCGTGCGTGCGTGTGCGTGCTTGTGTGTGTGTGTGTTTAATGAAAAGAAACGAGTGAGAGGAGCTAAATGCAGGATGTGTCCATTCGACTCATAACTATGTTGATTGTCATCATTCACGGCAGCAAGTCAATCCTCAACGTTTGACAGGCGGGAACCACAAAGGCAACAGCGCCTGCCGCAAGCAATGCCGGCTTGTGCACCGCGCCCAGACATGCAGCATCCGGTGCCCACGCAACGTGACTCGCCTGCAAACAAGAACGGGTGCTTTTTGGATGGGAATTTGGCCGTCCCCTCGGCCAGCTGCGCCCTGAAATCCTCCCAGGGCGGCAGCCCGGTGCTGCCCCCCTGGGCCTTCTCCAGGGCGTCTGCAGTTATGAGGCTGGTGTAACCTGTGTGCGTGCGTACATGCGTGTGTGTGTGTATATCTGTATGTTCTTGCGTACTTGTGGTATAGGTGTGTGTTTATGTGTATGTGTGTATGTGTGTATGTGTGTTGGGCTGTTTGTGTGTTTATGTGTGTGGTGTCGTACACGTGGGCACGTGGGCATGTCTTGCGGGGCAAGTCAATGGAGGCTTCCAATTGAAGGAGTTGGGGTCGATCGGGGCTGCAGGCTGTTTTGTGTCAACGGGAACCTCGGGGTCAGGTAGAGAACAAGGGATTGGCCCCCACCAGGGCTGCCGTCAGCTCAGGCCCCCTCTGCGGGATCGCCGAGGCCCCTGAAGACTGCCATGAACAACCGCCAGCCGAACGCCCCTCACCAGACTTGGTGCCGGACACGCCGACACACTTGTACTCAAAAATCTCCGCCCGCTCCCCGAATATCCTGCGGGGCGAGGAGCAGCGCGCAAGGGCGCGCGCGTGCGTCGCAGGGGCCTCGATCGTTGCTGGGGCCCGCAGGCGCCTGCTGCTGCTGCTGGTTCACCGCCCTGCCCAATTTCCCGCCCATCCCGCGAGCCCTGCCGGCACCCAGGGTGCCCCCAGACCCCCCCCCTGGTGCCTGCAGATCTTCCCGCCCACCACTCGTCCATCGGGTCGTCCATGTCCCCCAGCTCGTTCACGCCCTGTGCGCCAGGTCAGCAGGAGCAGGCAGGGGGTCTTTACTGCGCGGCATGTGTACTGCCGTGATGGCCTCATGTCCCCCAAGTAAATGATGTTGCAGTACACACGCTCCTCATCGCTTGAAGGCGACAACATTGCGATGGCCCAGTGCTTTTGATAGACGCAGCATGCCGGGCGCCGGGCTCATATGGGAAATTAGACGCGCTTCATTTCAGCGACCGAGATTCGGGACACGGTTTCCCACATCCGCCGCTGTCGCGGCATAGGCAGGCGGTTTACGCCCCGCGTCAGGCGATGGCGCACCTGGGACAGCAGCGGCACGAGCGCCGGCGGCACCCCGCGCACAGTCACTGATTTGACGTCGCCCGCGCGGCCCTCCAGCACTGCCCGCGGGTCGATTACCACCACTGCGGATCAGCAACATCACAACAGCCGCGACCACCTCCAGGTCAGCCCTGACCGCGATCCATGGTAACGAGGCACCAGCGCACGGCGACGGCATCGGTCCTTCGTACACAGCAGGCGTCCATGCATGTGGCCGTGTTGCATGGCCCGTCACACCGTCAGTGGCCTCCTTGTACGAGGTTGATGGTGCGTCCACTCCCAAAGCATCCTGAACGCGCGACCAGATCGACAAAGACCTCCCAATGTGCGGATTCAAGAGGATGCGGCTGCTGATCGCGCGCGCCATGCTGCTCACGTATTGTGATGGCGAAGAGACCCCTGTGATTCGCCTTTTGCGCCTATCTGCACCCGCAACACATGTAACCGGGGTGACAGGCTCGTGTCGTCGCTGCGTGCCGCCTGTCCCGCTGTGTCGCCACCCCCGGCTACTGCTCACGCTGCTGGCACTCGGCTGTCCGCCCAGCTGAATTGTGATGGGCTATGACTTGGCACACCCATCCTGACTCAATGCAATGTAGCACCGCACATGCACATGCACTGTCGCCGCAGCTTGGTTTGCCCCCAACCTGCACGTCCTGTTTGCTGCCCCCTCTTTCATCAACAAGATCCTTGTTGCTTGCAGGCTAACAGCGGGCTTTTGAGGTTGGGCTTGCACAATCAAACGGCGCCCTGGTTCCACCAGCCTGCTTGCTGAGACTTGCCCATGCCATGGCCTGCAAACGGAATGCGTGACGCTTGATTACAAATGCCTGGGCATTAATTTCTTGGTGGATAAGGGATGAACAAAATAGCTTGCAAAAAAACCCCAGCAGCACAGGCCGCACGAAAACCCCTAGCTACTTGGCCGGCCTGCAGCGTTGCGGCCGCGCCTTGCGCCCCGCAGACACAAAAACGGCCGCACAAAACCCAGCACTCGCGGCTGGCACGCGCACGGTGCATGCACTTCACGCGTCCTCCGCCTCCCCAAGCAGTTCCAGGTCCAGGTCATCGTCATCCTCCGCGGCCCCCTGCCCCGCCTTGCCCTTCTTGCTCTTCGGCGGCGGCGGCGCGGCCGCGGCGCCGAAGAGGCTGCCCTTCAGGCCGAGCTTCTGCAGCAACTGGTCGGCCTGAGCAAGCGACTCCATCTCCTGCCAAGCACGAGTCGTGGATGGGTGAACCATGGGTGAACGGGGCGTGGTGGAATTGGTGGTGCGAAAAACGGGGTGCGGAAGAGAGGGAATGTCACGAGGGGCAGGGCCCATAGGCAGCAGGGGGTGCAGCTGCGAGACGTGGCCGCTCTGGCACAGCATCTGGGCGTTCGACCGAGACGGTCGATAACATCACATGAGCGCCCTCTGTCTCTGCACCACTTCACTCCGCAGGGGCGCCCTTTGGGAAGCACGCAGGCCACCGGCGGCCTCACGCCGAGCACGGCTGGCACTGAGGGGCCCACTCCCCTTGGCCACCCCAGGCGCTGACCCTCCCGCCTTCGCCACGCGAGCCCGTCTGCCGCGGCCCGCCGCGCCCCACCATGTCGTTCAGATGCTCCAGCTCATCCACTGCCGACGCCACCGCCTTGCCAAGCTTGGTGTTGCGGTTCAGGGCGTCAAAGTATGTCCCAGGCACCTGGGGGCCGGGGGCAGGGTTTGCGGCGGGTTCGGCCACGTGCATGCGCTCGGTGCACAACATGCGTGCTCAGGGCACGTCGAGGCGCCCTTCAGCCCACGCCGCGGCGCGGCCGTGCTGCCGTGCCGCGTGCATGCCTGCGTGCCGCATGCGGCGCATCTGATCGCTATCGGGCCTGGGGCCGCGCCGGCGTGAAGCTCGCTGCAGCGCGTCGCTCCGATATGCTCTAATCCAAAACACGTCGCACTGCCCACCTCTTGGTCCTCCTCAGGCAGCAGTCCAACAAACTCCTGATGCAGCAAAAAAGAGACAGGCAGGGGAGGCTGGAGGCGCCGGCCGTGGTGCTGCGCAGCCAGCCGTGCTGCTGCGTGTGGGTCGGGCACGGTCCAGGCACTGCACCCTGCTGGAAGGCCAGGCGGGCAACTGCCACACATGCATGCGCATGTAACGCACCTCCTCATCGCCGCCGTCCACCTTGCTGGCGCCCGGCTTTCCCTCGGCTGGCGCCGCTTGCCGCACGATGCAGCATCGCGAGCGGCCGCCGCACGAACCTACTGGCCGCACCGGCAGTGTGCGGCACGTACGCAATGCCATCGAAGGACGTGATATACTGCATGGCATACTGCTGCAAAGCGCCATACTGATCAATGTGTCGGTGTGGGTATGATGGATTTCGGCGTCCGGCTGTCGACGCTGATCGCGCCCTAGCGTGCAAGAAGACGTTGAGGCGATTCTGGGGATTGTCAAGATGCTGGGGTCCCACCACAATACACCGGAAGTGCAGCGGTGATGCGTCATGGAGCGCAAACCTTTCGGGAGGGGCCACAAAGAAACTCTTGCGACGACCTGATTCCCCCTCCATTTTCAATCTCACCTGATTCTCACAAGCTCAACACATACGTCTCTGACCCCTTACACAGCTCGTGCGAGCTGGTCACACTTGGTTTGCGAGGGAGCCGTCGCCAGGCGCCAATAGCGGCTGCAAAAGCCTCCCGCGCAGCACCCATCAGAAATTGAACTAGTTTTACGTGGCTCCGGGACGCCATGGTCCTAGGCAAGCGCGAGGCGGGCGCCGGGGGCCTTGGTGGCGTGTCATCCGACAGCGAGCGATGCGCCGTGACACGCCCAAAGGCACGGCGCACGGGCCCGGCAGTCCCGGCCAGCGTCGGGATGGCGAGGGCGTTTCTGCAGCCGTGCATGCGTCGAAGCCTTGCTTGGCAGGCTGACGAGGCGTGCGCGGCCATGTGGCTTGCAGCCGCTGCGGCGGCGCATCACAACCACCACAACAGCTTCCAGTGGTCGACGCCCATCAAGCAGCAGCAGCAGCAGCAGCAGCAGCAGCAGCAGCAGCAGCCAATGTCATCTGCTGATACGCAGCGTGGCGCATGCGACCAGTATGACGGCTGGGCTTGCCATGCAGCAGGCGCAGCGGAGCCGCCGCCAGCAGCAGAGTCGCCGCCGCCATCGCCGCAGCCGTCGCTGCGGCAGCAGCTGCAGCGGCCTCAGTCCGGCGCCCGAAAGTCGGTTCGCTTCGCGCCCGGCCCCCTGGACGCGGACTCGGCCGCCCCTGTGGCCGTGACGCCCGACGGCCACCCCGCGGCCGAGTGCCGTGGCGCGGCGCTGGTGCGTCGGCCGGGCGCCGCGGCTGCGGCGTCATTTGCCCCCAGCCCGCTGACGCCCTCCGACCTGTCGGCCCTTGAAGATCTGCTTGGGCCGGAGAACGCCCCCTCTCTTGGGCGTCTGCGGCGGCGCCTCGCATTGACGCCGCAGCGGCCCCCGCGCGTGGTGCTCACGGCGGCGCCGCCGGCGCGCCCGCAGGTGGCTGCATGAGGCGCGCGCGCGCCATGTGGCCAACGCTGCTGGCGCTGTGCGGCATGGTCCAAATTCTTTTTGCTCTCGTGTCGTTGAGTTTGGTAGCCAGCTGCAGTCCGCCACCACCCTTGATTTTGATGGGAGTGGCACTGCAACTTACATCATCGTCGCCTGGGATTAAGGCACCACTGGCGGCCTCCCGTCATGCGACTTACAGTGAAGCAGCGGCGTTCACACTTACCCGACTTTCACAAGCATCCAACCGATTTTTCTTTCACTCACGGCAACGTCGTTGCCAAGACGCCCATGCAGCCCGCAGCCCCGCAGCAACCCCCGACGGGTCAGCTATGACAGGTTCCGGGTATCTCATGCAGAGCAGCGGGGCACCAGCAGTGCGCTGGGGGCGTTTGCCGCCTTTGTGCGCACGCAAAACCGCCACGCTGGCTCACACCTACGACGGAGCTTTTGACCCCCGTCTGCTGGTGTTGCAAAACCCATGGCGCAGGCCCTGACTGATTTTTTTGAGAGGCGCACGTTTGGCCCCTGTGAGGCGGGGCGTAGCAACAACACGGCCGTCGCATGCTGCAAGGCAGGCTCTTGGTTGCTACAAGCAATTTTTTCTCCCGCCGAAGTGCGGGGCGGGCGGCTGTGTGCGCATGGAGGCATCGCAGCACCCCTGGAGGGTCAAGAGTCGCGCATGGGAGGCGCTTTCGTAGACACCCATTCTTAATGACTGCCTTTGTCGGCACACCTGTATATCCTTGCGCCTGGCGTCGTCTTTGGCGCACCCTGAGGCTTCTCCTCAGGCCATTCGCAGGCAGCCCCTGTCGCGCTGCCGCGTGCTTCGTTCAGGCAGGTTGCGCGTGCTTTGGCAACCCCTTGAATCTTGAGCTTTAAAATGCGATTACGCACTGGTAACTGCGATTCACTTGCAAGCTAAGGCCCCTACTGGATTGGGGCAGTCAGCTTGAGGCAGTCAGCTCGGGACATGCAATTCGGCATGGGTCGAGCTGGCAAAGAGTGGCAGACGCGGAAGGGTGCACTGAGCAGCTCGCTGGTGAGCAAAGCGCGGGAGCAATAGAGTAAACTTGGCACCAGGTTACCAAACAAATCCAGCCACCTCTCCGCCCGGCAAGCCAGGGCGCAGGCGGCTGGTTGCAACGAGGGCGGCGCTGTACTGCCAAGGGGACCCGTGGCTCTGTGTTGCCCTGCCCGTGCTCTGCTGCCCGTCAAGGCTGCTCACGGCACTGCCGCCTTGGGTGACGTAGGTTGGCAGGTTCCATGCATACGACGTGCTGCCAGTCCAATGTGCGTATCGGCTTGCACCACAGGCAGATGACTGCAGGTGCAGGCTGCATGTACAACAGGGAATTCAACCAGCCTTGTTTCAAGCTCGGTTTCTGACTTACCCCCAGCAGTCGTCAAGGGGCAAGGATCGTCATACGCAATCATTTGGAGCTGCAAAGATGGCGCCTACGCCCCCGAGCGTTGCAGAGTGGCCCCCTGATGATCCGGGCAAGGTCCTGCTGCACCTAGACATCTCGGGCGGCAGCGTAGATGATGTCTGGACGGATGTTTTTGCATCCAAGAGCCAGCTCCAGGTGCGCCAGAGGTCGTGCTGCTCGCATGCCACATTTGAGGCCCCTGCGCAGCAAGCGCGGCACGAGCTGGCGCGTAGCACCAGCATAGTAGACCTAAGGCATCACATTGAATTTCTAGGGCCTGTAAGCTCCGGCCTGGTCCTCCTGGACACATCAGCTGTGACTCAAGGATGCAGCGTCCGTGCTGTATGTGCTGCCCCTTTCCTGCAGGAGAAGCTGCACCGGCTGAGAAATGACGCCAACGTGCATGAGTCGCCGTGGGTGTCGCAGCGTGCAGAGCTGCCGGCGGAGCTGTTTGCATGGGAGGCGCCACCCGGAGCGGCGTTGGGCGCGCCCGCTGCCGGAAAGATGCGCAAGGTGAGCCCTGCATGTGCGAGCCGTAAACACACAGCTTACATACGCGCGTCCGTTGGTGGCGGGGCAGGTCGCTGCGCTCAACCACTGGGGTTGGACGCCAGCAGCAGCTGCGTCGGCGGGTGGTTTGCACGCCCCCGACGCCGCGGCCCGCGCACGCACACGCGCACCGCCGCAGGTGCGCTTCGACGCGCCAGCCAGCGCCCTGGGCAAGGGCTTCTCCAGCGACGAGGTCATGCGGGTGCTGGCGCACCGTCCCGGCAGCCACTACGCCGTCGAGTCGGAGGTCTTCACCACCGCAATGTACGGCGACAAATTTGCGGTGCTCACGCGCGCCACTCTGGCCGCGCGCGGGCCCCGGCGCTGCGTGCTGCACGTCGTGTACGCGGTCGCGTTCTCGCCAGCGCTGACGAGGATGCTGAGGCCCATCATTTCGAAGGGCGTGGACGGTGAGGCGGCCAGCGACCCCAGCACGCGCGGGTCACTCGACTTAGTGGTGGCGGAGCGTGGTGGTGGCGATCAGCCGTGGTGGTTTTGATGGAGGGTGGTGGTGGTGGTCAAGCCTGGTGGTGGTGGTGATGGAGTGTTGGGTCGGTGGTCAAGCCGGCCCCTCAGCACAGGTGGCTCACCGCCAACGTCTGGTTCTCAACAGCAGCCACCTCGGCAGCGCGAGCCCAGCACGCATACCGACAGGCGCCGCACGACCCCTGACTCTGGACTCCGCCGCGCCCGTGCACCGCCCGCCAGGCGGCATCCGGGCGTCATTCCAGGTGCTGCGGCGCCTGCTGGCTGAAAAATACGAGCTGGCAGACTTGGCAGACGACCCCTCGCCGCCCGCCGTCGAGGGCGCGCCCTCGGAGGAGGCGGAGGCGGCCGCGGCCCACAGGTGCGACCGCTGGGGCCGGCGGCGCCGAGGGCGCGCACGGGGCACGGCTCCGCTACAGCAGCGGTGTTTTGCTGACGCCGGCGGCGCGTCCCGCCGGCAGCAGCCCGCCGCTTTGGTGCGCACCCGACTCTCTCTCCTCCCCGCGCAGGCCCCCAATATCAGCCGCCATGCCGCCCCCGGCCCCTGGCCCCCTGGGCCTTGCCGACGTGCTGGCCTACCGCGACCTGGTGGCGCGCCTGCTGCGCCTCCACGACCCGGGTGCGGCGGCCAAGGCCCTGGCGGCCGTGCTCACCGTCGCCACAACAGCGGCCCTCGCGGCCGCGCTGCGGCCGGCGCAGGAGTGGTGCCTCGGCGGCGGCGGCGGCAGCGGTGGCACTTTCCTGCAGCGCGCGGCGTGCTTGCCGGTGACGACCGGGCTGGTGTCACTCCCGGGCGGCGCGGGTGATGTGGTGACCGTGCTGGCGCTGGTGGCGGTCGCGAATTGGTTGCTGATGGCGGGCGCTGAGCTGGCGGATGCGTACCTCAGGTGTGCGGGGCTGGCGGATGGCGGTGGCGGGTGGCAGGGGGTGCTTATGGGCGTGCGCGTCGCTAAGGGCTCTGTTGCAGGATCGGTGTCGGGGCGGGCTTGAGCACGGCCGCACCGCGTTTACTGCTTGGGGCCGTTAAATGGTTGCCGCAGCAATTGGGTCGGCGGGGTGCTTCGAGCAGGCAGGCAGACGAAGGCGGCCCGCAACGGCCCCCGTGCCCCTCCTTTCCCCGCAGGCGCGCCGCCCTGGCCGCCGCCAACCAGACGGCCGCAGCCCACCGCGCCGCCGCCGCCCGCGCGCGCGCGGCCGAGGAGGCCGCCGCGCGGTCTGCAGCGGCGCGCGCCGTGTACGAGGAGGCGCTGGCGGCCGCGGAGGCCGCGGCGGCGGCCGAGGAGGCCGCGGCGCTTGCCTCGCCGCTGCCGTCGCCGCCGGCGGCGGCGCTTGGCAGCAGCCCCGACCTGCGGCGGTTGGAGCGGGAGGCGAGAG